CCTCATTTGAGAACATTCTATTTTAAAATTTTTTTAGTTTTTTGGTTAAACTATGAGGTAAAAAATTAGGGGGATGCACCAATAAATCCCAAATTAATAACTTATGCACTGTTTAGTCCTAAAAGTTTTCTTATAGACTGAAAGGTCCCATTACAATGTTAATAACATCAGATACAATGTTAATAACATCAGAGTCATGTTACAAACATTGGATTTCAAATATCTAATGTTCATCAAATTTCAATAATGTTTGAAAATATAGGATGAAAAACATCTAATGTTCATCAGATTTCAATAAATTTTGAAATTATAGAATGAAACATCAGATCATTTACATCATTCACATCATGTTGATGTAAAAATGGGACTAAATGGAGCATAAGAAAACTTTTAGGACTAAATGGTTCAACGTTTCAAAAACTAGGACTTATGGATAAATTTTCCAAAAAATTAATATATTTGTGATAACTTTTTAATTTTTTATGAAAAAATATGTAAAAAGTAGAGAAAAAATAATTTTTTTGACTTTTTTGTATAATTTGTTGAATTTTTAACTTTTTTAATAACTTTTTAATTTTTAAACTAAAAAGTAATGTTCCCAAACAAGATCTTATTAAATTATATGACAATATTATATTCTTCGTTCTAATACATGCATCAACTACAAAAATATTATTAACATTTGTATTAGTTGTTATTGTAAAAGGATTTTTTCAAAATTAAAATTAATAAAATCACATCTAATATTGACTATGTCATTTAAATAATTAAGTGGATAAATTTATAAATTGAATAAGACACATTAAAAAAATTGATTACAAAAGTTTAATAAATAATTTTTCATTACAAAGAGCAAGAAAAATTAATTTTAAATGACAATAAAATATGAAAAATTATAATTGACATTTAAACAACAAAATGCCTCCCTTTAAAATTTTGTCTTAGTCCCAAAAAAGGTTGGGCCGCTCCTGAATTTAATACTCTTTTATTGAAAATAATATATTTTTTTGATATTTTTATATATTTTTAAGACACTTTATATATTTCTTAATATTAAACAATACATGAAGACACTTGTTAGTATTTATATAAAAATAAAATAAAAAAAAAGAAAGAAAGAAAGAAAAAGAAGAAGCCAATATGTGTAGGGGTGTAATTTTGGCCTGTGACCCGCGGGCGGCCCGAGGTGGGCCCGGCCCGTTAAGGCCCGAGCGCAAGCTCAACCCGAGGCCTTGGGCTTGGGCTTGGGCCATCGCTTTAAAGCCTGGCCTGCTTGGCCCGCTCAAGGCCCGCCCAAAAGCCTGGTCCAAGGCCCGGCCGGCTCGATCCACTCGAAACCCAGTGTTATTTTTAATGGAAAATAATAAAATTTTGGTAGAAATTTTTTTTAAAAATTTTAAAAATTGTTTAGGCCCACCCAAAAGCCCAAATACTCCTGGGCTTGGGCCTAATTTTCTGGCCCGTGGGCCGGCCCAGCTCGAGCCGATTTTTTGGCGGTAGCCCGCAAGGCCCGACATGAGCCGAGCCAGAATTACACCCCTAAATATGTGCACATGTGGTCGAATCCCATGTGGAAGTGATAATAAGGACATATATTTTCGTAGTAAGGATAGAGATCTCAGAAATTTTATTAAAATTTTTATTAAATGTCTCTAGTATTTTTGATATTTTCGCACTATCTAAACAAATGATTGTTCTATTTGTACCAAATGGTATATCAATTAGTGTACTAATATATGCAATGACATTACTATTTCAAAATTATAACTCCACCTATTATACAAATTATAAATACCTAAAATTTCTAAAATTGTGCCACATCATATATTAGTACATTAATTAATCAGTACATGGGTGTACTAAAGTTTCTATCAAATATCTTACATGGGTGTGGGACCCACACAATGTAAATTTCATGTAGGTCTTACACCTATGTGAGATATTTGGTAGAATTTTTAGAATCTTTAATATTTTTGTTAATTAATATACTAATTAGTATATATATTATTATTTATTATAGCTCGGTTCAGTTTTATTTACGGATCTAATTGAGTGTTCAGCTCGGTAAGGCCCCAAGTAGAGACCTCGAACAAATTTTAGCTTGGTTAAGTCCGATTTACGGATCTAAATGAGCATTTAGCTTGGTTCTGTCCAGTGTTCATCCAATTCATCCTAAGTTCAAGGTTCATCCATTCAAACTAAGGAGAAACAGGGGCACGAAGGCCCCATTCACCCCTCCAGTTCCAGTTTGCCCTAAGGTGTGCCAATACTACCCCATGGAGGAGGTATTGGTAGGTGCCTAGCATTTCCAAGTAAGAACACAAGTACAAAAACGAAGAATAAGTATGGAGGTGCAGGAAATGGAAACAGGAAATGCAATGAAGAGATAGAGAACTCACCAGGAGCAGATGAGAAGCGAAGTAGGCCTCACGAGCTTGGGTACGACTTCTACAGAGGCGAGAATGGATGAATGTGAAGATGGAGGCTTGGAATGGACGATTGGGGAACTTGGAGGCTAGGGTTTGCTTGAAAAAGAAAATGAACAGTAAAGAGGCAATAATGACCCTTCGTGTGATGTTCAAAGATGGGGGAAAAACCCAAACGGCGGCAGCCGTTTGAATTCTGTGTGCGGAAGACAGCTGGGTTGTACGGCCCAATGGCGTGAGGCCACGTGGCACTGAGAGCGCGGCTGCCAGTACAGCTATACGACCCTTGACAAGACTACTGAGGCAATGGCCGACCAAATGGGATAGCTCGGCAACGGACCTGGTGACAATTACGCTCGGCCTGTACTGGAGCAACTCGGTGACCGTTAGCTCGGTCATAGTGATAACCCCAATCACGATTAGCTCGGTTGGGATTAAGGGGCAATTGAGAGGGGAGATTTGCACCGGTTAATACGGCTGAGCTATGGTAACACGGGTCGTGGCAAGCCGCACGACGCCGAGCTGTTTTCTCTCCTGACGCGGCCCTTCGGCCTGTTTTGCACGACCGAAGAGGTTGGCCGACCAGGCACGATCTAAGGTCTGACCGAGTTGTGACCAGACGTTTGGCAGGGCACACGGTGGCATGTGTCAACCGATCTAAAAGTAGCCCGGGCTAGACTGATTACGGGGCAAGGACCGGCATGCCTCTAACCGGTCCTCGCCGAGGTGGACGGACTTCGTATAACCGAGAATGAAGGTAAGACGGGGAATGGGGCCGGTACGCCTCACGGCCGATCAACCAGGATGGACCAACCTACAGTAGCTCGGCCATGAGAATTAGACTTTCGCTTCTTCCCCGAGGGATAGGTCAGCGAGATACAGCTCAGTTGTGCTGCTTGTGGTGGCAACTCTCCACAAGGGCTAGGCCGGTCGTGGTACTCCGATTAAGTGAGCCACCTGGGCCAATGGCGTGAGGGAGAGGACATCTGCTCCAAGCACGCGTCAATACCGTTGGGCAGTTCTGCGTGTACTGGTTGGAGGACTAGGCCTTTACACGCGTGAGGTGGTGAGAGGCGAGCACTGCCACCTGTCCAGGAAAGGACAGCAGAGGTAGTGCGCGCACAATCTTGAGGCTGCATGACCAGCCTAGAAATAGGAGAGGAAGATGAACGTAAGAGGTAAGCAACTTGCGCTATCTGAAACACCACTCTCTCTCGAATAGCCTGCTTCTTCCTCAAGTGATCTGACTTGATCGTTGGAGGGTCTATCCGGCACACCACCGCCGGGCAGCTCACCGTTCTCTGTGTTGCCAGGTTAGACGCCATCACGTGAAGCTTGAAGTCCAAGGAGTACGGGAAGCAGAGGATATTTCGCTCCCGTACAATAGAAAAGATACATGTTAACTTTTTTTTTTTTTTTTTAAACACATGTTAAATTTAAACATACAATTCCAAATCAACGGATTATGAGTGGAGTAGCTTTTAAAGGACGGTTTAGTGTAGGTTATAGAATTACTTATGTGTATATATATATATATTTAAAAAAATTATACCAAAAGAAATAATCATAAATATATTTTAAACTTCCGTTTGTTATTAGACTTTAACTTCTAAAAAATTATACCAGACTCGAAATATATAAATTTAATGGATTAAAAGGGCGAAAGTAATAGAAGTCACACACGGGAAATCTTATGGTACCACAAACACACACATGTATCTATATAGGATAATATTACGATATACACATATAAGTTATGACATTTATAAAATTGAAACATTAAAAAAAAAAGAAATTGAGATTTACTTTTTAAATTCAGTAATGTGTTAGAAAAATAATTGATTATCAATTAATTATCCTCTTGCCATGTCACTAAATTTATAAAATATATTTAATTTTTGAATCTGAATAAGAATACTTTTACCATAAATGTTATAATTCAATTTTATAACTAAAAAACCCATATAAGTTATGAAGTTATGATAGTCATACCAAAAATTTGAGTGTGGGTCCCATAAGTTCCACATTTATATGAGGTATTTAGTCAAATATTTAGTAAAATTTTTAAGACTTTTAGGCCTCGTTTGTAAACAAAATTTTTAATAATTTTTTGACTTTTTGACTAAAATATGATGTAAAAAAAATAGTATGTTTCAGATAACTTTTTAATTTTTTACAAAAAGATGTGTAAAAAGTAGAGAGAAAATAAAATCTTTGATTTTTTTAGTATAGATTGTTAGCTTTTTAATGACTTTTAAACTTTTAAGCTAAAAAGTAATGCTACCAAACAAAACCATTATTTTTGTAAGTTGTAAACAAACACTATATAAAGTCATAACCAAAGAGCTTTTGAATCATAATTAATATCATAATTAATATCACAATAAATTATAATTAATATCATAATATATTAAAATCATGAAAGCTTTGTCCGTTGAATTATACTTAAAATAAAATATCACATACTAATCAAGATAATTCAAGAATCATAAATCTTTTATGATCATTTTGATAAAAAAATTTCCATGATCCTAACTTTTCTCTTATATATATCTATATATAAATCGAAAACAGTGGCACAATATTGTGGTGCTGGTGATATGAGCAGGTTGACTCAAGAAAAGGTTATGCAGGGCTGTGAAATTAGAGAGAGAAAGAGAGAGAGAGAGGGACAGTAGTAGTAGTAGCAGCAGCAGCATAGAGTATACAAGTCTATCTTGGGTTTGAGAATGGAATGGTTAATAGGATGTTGGATTTTAACGGCTATAATTCTTGGGTTGAGTTTGTTGTATAAGCTGAAAATGAAAAAAGAGGGGCAGCCAAACAAGAGTGAGATTCCAAGAGGGAGCTCAGGATGGCCTTTTATAGGGGAAACTCTTGACTTCATTGCTTCTGGTTACACCTCTCGCCCTGTTAGCTTCATGGACAAACGCAAGTCTCTGTAAGTGTCTTTATGTTCTGTTTGTTTACCTTCAATTTTATTTTTCCTTCGTTTTCTGAATTGTCTTTAATTACTATTTTCTGTTTCTTTTTGTTTTCTCTCAATCCACCCAACCAAAAGTGTGAGTATCTATCATCATCATTGTTTTTCTTTTTTTCTTTTGGGGCTCTGTCAGTATATACTATACATGGCTCTACCCAAGAAGGAAAAAGAAAATGGTATGTTTTCATTATTTTGTTCCAAACAAAAAAGTCTAGACTTTTTTCTTAGAAAAAAAATCAAAATTTTAAAATAATTTGGAAGAAGGGAACCTGAAAAGAAAAGTTGCATGGCACACAATGATAAAATTCGAATCCAAACGTCGTCCCGATAAATAAGCACCTTATTTATTAGACCAACTCCATAATCTTAGATCGCCCTTTGAGTTGTGTTGTGCTTGGTAATCTTTAATATATTCTTTACATTTTACTTTTAACTTTTATTTTCTTAATCTCTCATAAAAATAGAAAACAAAGAGGTTAATTAGGTGGATGAGACGTTTTGTTATTAACTATGATGCATAAAAATATAATTAGTTGTAAAAGTTATTTTTCAAGTGATTGATTAGATAGCTAAGATAAATTGATCATTTGTGTTCTATTCTTCATAAGATTACAAATAAGTAGTAAAATAATTTTATTTTCATAAAGTTTTCTAATCATTTTGAGCGTGATGTCTTAGCTTTCGTGTGCGATGTGTATTGATTTTTTAATTATTTTAATTTGGAGTTAAAAAGTCTCGTTTAAGATAAATTTTTAAAATTTTTAAACTTTCGTGAAAAAAAAAAATAAAATAATTATAGACTGGATGTGATTTTTTGTCCTATTTAACTAAAAGAATTAATTTTATCTTATATAACTATTTTAACCTAAAGTAATATCCCAAAGATTGCCTTATTCTAACGGAAGTATAAGCCTTTTTTATACACTTCAAAAAAAATTATATATAGCAACCACTATTATTTTAGAATTGTCTCGTTATTGTTGTTATTTTCCTCATCTCTGTCATAATATTTGATTTTATATACGCTTTCCCTTTAAAAATGTTAGTCCCTTATACTAATTTTCATTATCTCAAAATATTAATCTATTTTTAAAAATCAATTATAAAAACAATATAAATTTCTTATTTTGTCATTCTTTTAAATTCATTAACAATATAAAAAAATACAACTATGAGATTGATATTTTTAAAAAAATATACAATCAAAAGAGTAATTTTAAAAAATCAAATTTTTTAAAGTGCAATAATTGTACTAACAAAAAAAGTTTAATTTTTCAAAAAAGATCATTATTTTGAAATGGAAAGAGTAAATAAATATTTGTGTAAACCCAAAAATTCACACAACAGCCTTCCATGAATTTTTTTTTTTAATAGAACGACAATAAAATATGACAAGATAATTATATTTAAAAAATAAGATTAATTATGTAATTTTATTGTGTGTCAGTCAACACATAATTACACTGAATTTTGGAGTGGGTCAAATCTGGGCCCATAGTGGGTGACGATGCCTAACCTTTGTCAAGGTGGTATGCAACCTATCTATGAATGGGACCTCGTAATTATTATTATTATCATTGTGTTTTTTTCATGTGTTTAAAATTGACTAATCACACGCTGTGATGTGCTTTCAAATCGAATGGAAATTGGAATTCAATGAAAGAGCTTTCAAAAAAGAAGCATCGAAGGGCATATTTTGACTTTTACTTTTGTCATTAACGACAAAATTCACAAATTATATACCAATTTTTCATACTAATTAATGGCTTTGTTGGCCGACCCGTTGGTACAAAAGTTGAAAGGGAAAATTACTGTTTATGAAAAAATTTGGGATTTTACTGATTAATATTTTTTAAATTTTATTATTTATTTGTATCCAAGCCGCATAAATGGATTGGACTAAGCAATTTTTCTCTATGTGGGCTCACTTGTGGCTTATACTCCTTTTGTCTCAAAATAATAGTTCCTTTTGAGAAATTTAATTTTTTTTGATAGTATAATTGTTAGATTTTTAAAAAGTTAATTTTTCAAAATTACCCTTTTGATAGTATATTTTTTGAGAATATTAATGTCATAATTGTACTTTTTATATTGATTATTAATTTAAAAGAATGGCAAAATAGGAAATTTGTATTATTTTTGTACTTAATTTTTGAAGAGGGATTAATATTTTGGGACAATGAAAAATAGAATAAGGAACTAATATTTTGGGACGGAGGGAGTATTAATAATCAAAACCATTTATCTCATACCACTTGTCAATGAAATTACTTTTATAAAAAATAAATTGATTTAATATGACTAATCACACAATTATCACACAAAAAAAAAAGGATAATCGCAATTAAAATAAATAGTTTTTTTTTTGTGCTTTATTTTTTGAAACAATATGTGACACTTTAATGTTTGATCAGGCTGATTATTTTGCACCAATGATTTTCTAAGTAAATTTTATAAATTGAACAATTTAAATTATTAAAGACAAGTCATGCAATAGGCTAATAGTGAGACCAACAACACCTCTATTTCATTATTTGAATTATACATTAATTTTTGTGTACATATTTTGACACTTTTCTATGCACCTAATATTATTGTCCTTTTAAATTACATAATATTTTTTTACAAGTGACAAGATATCTATTATTAATGTATCGGTTTCATTTTCTTGTATTATACCTATAAATATTGTTGATTTGTAGATGATGGTATTCAAATTTTTGAATATTAATTTTGGTTACCATTATGGGATAGCTTATAATTGTTTTCCAGAACAAAATTTTCAGATTACAAAGTTAAAAATATTATACAAATTAATAAATTTACAAATTAAGTAATAACAAAACTTTAAATTTTAAAAAAAAAAATTCAATTTTAATAATGTGACAGTTGTCACAATAATAAATAAATAAAATTATAAAATTTATGTGAGTTTTTCATTAAATTATTAATAATTCTTTTAGAATTTCTAATATTTTTAATATTATAATAGTGACAACTAAGAAAATGGAGTGAAAATCTATACGATATAGAAAGTGACTTCATAGGAACACATATTGTCACTGCCCTTTAGCAACTACAACATATTAAATTATATATAAATCTGTAACTGTTAATTTCAAGTATACTTTGCACTCCTTGAATGATATATAATTGAGAGAAAATTATAAATCGAATGTATCTTTCAAAAATAATTATTTATACATGGAAAAGTTTATGATTTTAATAATTAAAATTTATAAACTTTATGATTATTCTGAAAAAATAAATTTCAACTACTACACTGATTTGTTATTTTTTTAAAAATTTATACTTAAATTGATATGAATTTATTGCTCAAATTAAATTCTGAAGAAAATGGAGTGAAAATCTATACGATATAGAAAGTGACTTCATGGGAACACAAATTGTCACTGCCCTTTAGCAACTACAACATATTAAATTATATATAAATCTGTAACTGTTAATTTCAAGTATACTTTGCACTCCTTGAATGATATATAATTTAGAGAAAATTATAAATCGAATGTATCTTTCAAAAATAATTATTTATACATGAAAAAGTTTATGATTTTAATAATTAAAATTTATAAACTTTATGATTATTTTGAAAAAATAAATTTCAACTACTACACTGATTTGTTATTTTTTAAAAAATTTATACTTAAATTGATATGAATTTATTGCTCAAATTAAATTCTGTGCTCGTTTAGCGTGTTGGTTTTAGAAGTTAAAATATTAAAAAATAAAAAATTAATAAGATAATGTTATATTTTAACTATAATCATTTTATTTGTTTTAAAAATTTTAAAAATCCAAAAGTCTAATACAAACTATACTTTTTCACTTCAAATTAAAATAATTAAAAAATCAAAAAATTAACTTACACCCCCAAACAAAAGTCTATAATTTCTTATCTCATATTATTCTAATCAAATTACCAAATATATAATAACATATCAAAATACAAAATGAATAATGCTATATGTATTAATTAATATACTACTTAGTATACAAATAGATGATATGATATACAGTAATGCTAATATACCAACATTAGTTATAATATTGTTATTGAGAATAATGCTATATGTACCAATTAATATATTAACTAGTGTATCAATTGATGGTGTGGTATAATTTAAGAGGTTTTTAGTATTTGTAATGTCATTAATGAGTAGATCAATAATAATGTCATAACTAGTATTGGTACACTAGTTAGTACACTAGTGCATGTAGCACTACTCTATTATTGATCTCAGTCATTAATTATATTACAAATATCAAATTTTTTTAAAACTATGTCACATTATTAATTGATACAAATTAATATATTAATTAATAGGTATAATATTATTTTATGATACAATTTTAAAATTTTTGAATTTTCGTTAAAAAAAAAAAAAAATTTCAATGCAGTAAATACAGAGACAGTACCTATTCCTCCATGGGTTTCAGCTTCCCAATGAAATGACCATTTGCTTTCTGCATACTTACACGTCATCTTCTCTTCATTCATGAAGCATGTCAATTTGGGTATGGGTTATTTTTTAAGTATTTTAATTTATTATAAAAAAATAAAATAAAATAAAAGAATAATAGAATAAAAATAAATTATGTCAATAAATAATTTATTTGGCTTATTGTTAATCATATGACCTAAACAGAGCGCAAACCCAAATATTTTTTCACAATGACACATTTTATAATCATATGACTTCAAAATATTTTATCATTTTGTCATGTATAAGTTACATATTTCATGTAAGTAAATTTTAACATAATAATTAGCTTGCTTGTTTTTATTTTTCAGAAAACACTTTTTAGAAAATTCTACTTTTTTATTTTTCGTATTTTTTTTGTTTTTACTGAATTTTTTTAATATTTTAAGCATTTTTTTTGCTTTTTAGACACACCTAACATAAATACACCTAAAAAGTAAAAAAAAAATCTTTTAAAAATTTACTAAATACCAAAAATACAAGAAAAAAATACAAGAATTCAGTACATTTTTTTTGTATTTTTATGTATTTATTAATGTTTTAAAATATTTTTTCATAAATTTTTTACTTTTTAAATACATCTAACTAAGGTGCATCTAAAAAAGTAAAAAAAATGTTTAAAATTTAAAAAACATTCACTAAAAACAAAAGAATACGAAAACAAAAAAATTCAGTTTTTAAAAAACTTAATCTAGAAAATTTAAACCAAACACACTTAATATTTTTGTGTCATATGACGGTTAACCTGATATTTTTTTGTTAAATTTTAAATAAAAATTAATTTCAAAAGTAAATTTAAAAAATTTAAAACATGAAGGAATAAAATAAAAAGTAAATTTAAAAAAAAATAAAACATAGAGAACAAATTATAATTGGGTGTTCTGGAAAGATGATTAAAAGCTAATTTTTTTATTTTTTTTAACTTTTTAATTTTTAATGTGAAAAAAAGAGTGAGTTGAAAGTTAAAAAGTTATTTTTAACCCACTTTCTAAAATGACCTAATGTATTGAGATACAAATAATAGAATCTCTCTTACTTTAATAATTAGGTTCGGGAAGGTGTTCAAAACGCACATATTGGGAAGACCCATAATAGTATCGACGGACCCAGAGGTGAACAAGGTGGTTTTACAGAACCAAGGCAACATTTTCATACCATACTATCCCAAATCCATCACTGAACTTCTTGGGAAATCTTCTATTCTCCAAATGAATGGAACTCTTCAGAGGAGAGTACATGGCCTTATCGGTGGCTTCTTCAGATCTCCTCAGCTCAAAGCTCGTATTACAAGAGATATTCAAAGCTCTGTAAGATTTACTTTGTCTACTTGGAAAGACAAACAACCCCTTTTACTTCAACAAGAAACCAAAAAGGTCCCACCCCTCTCTCTCTCTCTCTCTCCCTCTACATTCATGTACAAAGATTAATGCTATGTACCAAAAATTAAGACCCTAAAAAACTATATATTATGAAAAAAAATATGAATTTATTTGATCTCAATTTGAGATAGAGTGTTTAAGTTAGGTCGGCGGATTTCGATGGTCTCAATTGTTTGTTTTTTACAATTTGTTAGGTTTATTTATTCATGAAAAAAATTAAGATTATTGAATATCATTTGTTATATATTTGAATTATATTTATATTACAAAAAATAAGTAGTTATTTTTGAAATTATAATTATCATTTTTTTTAAAAAACAAATGTAATTCAAATATATAATTACCAATACTCAACTATCTTAATTTTTTACATTAATATTATTCCTAACAAGTCCTAAAAAAATGACAGTCAGATCATTGAAATTAGTCTCAAAATGGGTTCATCAAGCCAAACTATCTCTCAAGTTCGATAACCAACTTGAAATAATCCAAACCTAAAAGATATTTACTTCAGACTCATTTTAAGTGTGAATTTCTAAAGTTCTCAATATATTAGTGTTGGATGTGAACCACATAGTATTTGTTTTTCTTGATATTTTTTCATATAAAATGATTTACATAATTTTCATAAAGAGTAATAATATACCGACTAAATTTATGTACATAATTTTCATACAATATGATGTACTATTTTGTAGGCCCTTTATTTACAATGAAAATATTCACTATTGTTTTACTAATTTCACAAATGTCATTGTAACACTATTCTTATTAGAATTAATATATTTTCTAATAAATAATTTTATTTGTTTGTTTGTTTGTGGTATGTTAGATTACGTTTGAAGTGCTGGTGAGAGTGTTGATGAGCGTTGGTCCTGGTGATGATTTGAACTTCCTCGAGCGAGAATACGAAGAATTCATCAGAGGCTTGATTTGCTTACCAGTTAAATTTCCTGGAACCACACTATATAAATCTCTCAAGGTATTCAGCTACCGATAAAAAAAATTTGTTATTATTATTATTATTATTATTAATCATTATGTTCAAATACAGAATATAAACGTAACCATGATACAAAATAATAAAAATAAATAAATGAGATGTATTTCATATCAATATCAACTTACTATGTGTGGGTGTTTGGAAAGTGAGTTTTTTCGTAGTTTTTTTAATTGTAAGATATTATTGGAGAAATTTTTTTTATATTTGGGAAGATAGTTGGGTTTTTTTTATGGTTGGATGTAATGTTTCTGAAAGAAAAAGTAAAATGACTATGGGGTTTGATGTGATATTTTATTTGGATTTGTTTTTTTTTTTTGGTTTTGTAACCAATTTGTCTTTTAGGAAAAGAAAACCAAAAAACCTCCTTCCAGAAAAACCAAAAAACCTCCTTCCCAAACAGCGCCATAATTATTTGGGTACGTCTCTTTTTGGGAATCAGCTTATGTCAAATTGTCTCTCAATTTTATTTTTTTTTTGGGTGCATTTTCTCCTAATAAGTCAAAAATCAATTTGTAAGGCCATCTCCAACGATGCATCAAATTGTGCATCAGATTTGAAATTTGATAAAAAAAGTCATTTTTTCTCCCTCCAATGGTTTCATCAAACTGATATCAAATTGAGAATTAAGCAAAAATTTCACCAAACTGAGAATGCGCTGGGTCTTTTACCAAAACACTATTCATTACCGTTGTATTTTCACTATCGAATGACCCATCGGATGACCAATTTTGCACAAAATTTTGTACAAATTTTACACTGGGAGGTCGACGACCCCTCGGATGACCCTCAAGCTTGAAAATTCAATTACAGAATTGTACAGATTTTGCTCTTTCTAGTCGACCAACCGGTCGACCGGCCGGTCGTCCCTTCAGACGTCCGGTAAGTTTTGATGAAAGTTATAGTACACCGTTGGAGTGATTGATATCAAATTGAGCCAAATGCCTTTTTTTTACTTAAATTTGGTGAAAATTTTGTTCAACCGTTGGAGATGCTCTAAGCCACTTATATATACACATACTGCTTTTAGATGAAATAGTTTGTAGGAAAGTTGTTTTTGAATATTTATAAATAACTATATATTTTTTTATTTTTTTATTTTTTATGAAAATATGTGTAGATAAGTAAAGAGATAAGTGCACTTATTTAAGGGATACCAAACAATTAATAACAAATCTTATAAATATTAATATTTTAAAAATTTTCATAAATTTATAATTATTTTTTAAAAGTTTCACTGAATTTTAATTTTTCTTAGTTTGTAAGTCAACTACATTTATGCATCTATGCATGCATGACATTTGCATACATATAATTAATAAATAAAATTATTTTACATAAATAGATTTATTTTCATTAACATAAACATAAGTTTCTTGTGTATTTATTATTGTAGACGAATCCAATCATTTGAATGTGAAACATTTAATGGAATGAAATAATGGTGTGTTTGTTTAGACGGACTGGATAATGGGGATTGTAATTGCCTAGATTGTTAGTCCGGTCCTCAGACTATTTGGTTTTGTTTAGCTATGAGATTAGATGTCTTGATTGAACTATTCTATTGAATCATTATATTTGTTTAATTATGGGATTAGATATTTGGATTTGACTATTCTATTGAATTTGATGGGTATCCTATTTTTTACCAGAACTTTTAAAAATTATATAAATAAAATATCAATAAAAATTATATAAATTTATTTAAATTTTTTGTTGATATTTTCTAATTTTATTTTAATTTGAATTTTTAAATAAATTGAACTTTTAATTTACCAAAATTATATATATTTTATTTTAATTGAGATTTTAATTTTATTTTAATAAGTTCTGGATAATCCCAATTATGAGTTTTTTGTGCCACACCCCCTGGGATAGAGTTATTTTACATATGGGGGATTATTAGTTCAAATGAACTCACAGTCTGGTGCAAAATTTCTGAACTAAATAATGGATTATATTCCATCCACCGGATTGTAAACCTTATCTCATGTTGCTATCCTTTCAGACGAATGTACGCTAAGAACGGATTTTGTTACTCATAGTCGTGAGGTGAGGGTTGTCAATAAAAAACACATATGATATAAAAATATTTATAATTTTGATATATTTTTTAATTAATTTTTTAACACTAATTGCTGTCTTAAAAGTTATTTTTTATAATCTTTAATAAATTATAACGGTAGTGCTACATGCACCAATTAGTATACTAATTAGTGTATCTACAATACTTATGATATTATTATTGATCCTACTCATTAATCACATTATAAATATCAAAAATTTCTTAAATTATATTACATAATTAATTAATACACTAATTAGTGCACATACAATTATTCAAGTGATAATGTGCATGTGCCAGAATAGTTTAAAGTTGCTCTTTATTAAATTATAAATGCAGGCAAAGGAGAGGTTGTTGAACATGGTGAGGAGGATCGTAGAGGATAGAAAAATGGCTCTAGAGAAAACAGGTGACAAGGGTATGCCCAATGATGCAGTGGATGTGCTGTTGCGCGACACAGGTGAATCAAATGAGGTCAATCAACGTTTGCCGATGGATTTCATCGCTGGGAACATCATAGAGATGATGATACCAGGGGAGGACTCTGTGCCCATGGTCATGACCCTAGCTGTCAAATTTCTCAGTGACAGCCCCGTCGCTCTGAGCCGCTTGGTGGTACGAAATCTCAAACGTTTATTTATTTGTTAATTTAATTAACTATATTTAATTTAACGGTTGAGATCACTGCATGAAGTGGGACCTGAAGTGTCCACGTCAGGTCAGATCACTGAGAAAGGTTGGTCTGTTGTTTGACTTTCTGACGTCACTGTCATTTCAGTAGGACACGAGAACACACCAGTCAGTGAGAGAGGAAAGGGTAAACTGGGTACCCAAGAATTTCTTTAGACCCATTATTAAAATATAGAAAAAATTATATGAAAATTCACTTTTTAGAGATATCCTTTATCAATTATATATTTTAATTAAAAAATTGTTATAAATTATCATATTATTTTCTCTATTTTTTTTATATATTTTTTTGTAAAAATTTAAAAAATTACTAAAATAATACGCTTCCAAACGAGGTCCTAATTTTAGAATTAATTATTTAAAAGTCTTATTTACAAATATTATGCTAGTTTAAGTTCTATTTAAGATTTTTTTGAACTAATAAGTTCTATTTTAATTTTCAAAACTAATAATATTATCAATTTTGCATAATAATTTTCAAGATAATTGTTTCATTAACTGATGAAAAAAACAGAGCATGAGATTCAATGTTTTTGGCCTTCTACTTATTGGTTTAATTCAACTATATAATAAAACCTAGAATATTAACAGTTTTTTTAATTTTAAAATTGAGAATATTATTAGTTTTTTCATTTTTCATTTTTTCCCCCCATTTTGGCATATCAATGTTCCATTATCATGTTTCTTTATAGGCATAAATTTTTTAATTTTGCATAAAAAAATAATTCAGCTTTTAAAAAAAATAGTTTTTTATTTTTTTTTTTTGTACATGATTTTTTTTTTAAGTTTTTTTTTTCAATTTGGAAGTTGATATTTTAAAGTTTTGAAAATTAAAATAAATGTCAAATTATCATATTCTTTTATAGATAATTATAAATGAAGAACAATTATTATTTAAAGAGTAATTCCGACTATTAAAAAGTTAATAGGACTTTAAGATTCAAAAAATTTAGCTACGACTTAATGGAGTATAAATTCATAAATTAAGACTTGTGCGTAGATATCTTTTATTTTACATACTCAATAATGTGTAAGTGATATGATTGGTTGATGATTAGAGAAGAAATTATACTACATGTATCAATTAGTATACCAACATATGTTATGACATTATCGCTTCAAAACTATGGATCTCACCCGTTATACAAACTACAAGACTTAAAATCTCTAAAATTATGACATATCGCCCGTTAGTACACTACTAATTAGTATATCAATTGGTACGTATAGTTTTATTCTTAAAGAAGATACGGGAGAGAATGATACTTGTAATATCTTAATTGACTATCATATTATTGCATTTAAAAATTGAATCTAACTTTTAATATTAAATAGCAATGCTAAAAAAAAAATAATAATAATTACAATTAAATATAATAAAATTTTAAAATTTCCTTGGTTCCTACTCCTAAGCATATACACATTAGTCTTTTCTTTTCACTCTCCCTCGTATGTCTTGGGATGATAAAATTATTCGATTTGATTGTATTTATTTTATTTTGATTCTAATATAAAAAAATTTGAGAGATTATTAATAAAGTAAGTAAATTATAAGAATAGGAAAGTAAAAATTGTCAAGATTGAAATAAAATATAAAATTATATCATCAAAATAGTTGAGTTTAAAATTAAAAATTTCTATGAAAAATTAAAAAAAAAAAAAACAAAACAAAACGACCAGTTGTCACTACAATAATCTCCTCCATCGTAGTTAGCCACTACCCCAGCCATTTCAGTCTATCCACACCCCTAGTTACCTTATCTCTGTGATCTCGTAGTTTTGGGAGATAGAGAAAATATTGTAATTGAGATGGCGGTCAGATTTATTAATATTATGTTTATTATTTTGAGAGATAAAAAGGGGATTCATAATCTCCTGCGGATTAAGATCGGCCTTGGGGAGGGGATTAAGATAGAGGCTTGGGACTTAATATTGGAAATTAGTCTATTAGACCATTTTATTTATTTATTTATTACATGTTGGGTATCTTTTTGGAATATTAATGTTTAATTTTTTATATTTTTTGTTAAGTAAAAAATCATTATTTTATTTATTTTATTTTTTATTTTTTACATGTTGGGTATTTTTTTAACATTAATGTTTAATATTTTTGTATTTTTTTATTTGTTTTATTATTTTATATAAAAAGAATTTAACAATCTCTACACCAACAACTATTATCAAAACAAATACAATTTTACTTAATCTCTTCACTATCAATCCTCTCATTAACAATTCTTTCACTATTAATCATTTATTATGAATCTCCTTCATTCTATCTCTAAAAACAAACGGCCCTGTAAACCTTCATCCTTAGGCCTATTTTGGGAAGAAAAAAAAAAATTTACTTTTTTATTTATTTATTTTTGTTTTTTTTTAAAATGTATAAAAGTAAAAAAGTAATGTAATCTAAATAAATCAATAAATTAATAAATTAGCATTTTTTTAGTTGCCAAAATAAACCTTACAACCATAATCTTTCTCCTTAATTTTGCGATTTCTCCATTTCCTCGCACCTCGATTCCCTGAAATCCCTGGGAAAGATAGGAAAGGCACAAGGGGAGTTTGGTAAAAATTTTAGGAGTTCAAAGAAATTGTTTGAGAATTATTAGGGATGGGTACAGGTCGGTTGTAGTCACGGAACCTCCAATCCGTCATCTGTCTGTCAGATTGGTGGATTAGAAAAAATCAATCCGTATCAGTCTGTCAATCCGGCGGATGTGGATTGAGCGGATTGGCGGATAAATGTAAATCGGTTTGGCAGTTTAAAATTTTATAAATTTTCAACATAATTCAACTTGTTCACTTCCTCAACAACAAAAAAAAGTATTATAGTCAATAACTTTAAAAAGTATTACAATTACTGCATGTCTCATCCACATAAAGTATTACAATCTGTGGTTCTTAAAATATAAAAATAATTCAAACCATCAAAACCATGAACAAAGCAGTAATAGAAATTGAGTGCCTCTATATTGTAACATCTATATTTGTTTTTAAAAATGAAAACCAACCAGCATATATCACATTTTCTATTTATTATTTTTAGAGTTAGATTTAAAAATCAAAAAATATTGATAAATAATGCATTAATTTTTTTCAATTCAAAAAATATATTAGACTTGAAAACTCTTTTTCAACAGAATATTTAAACTATTTGTCAATTGAAAATATAATTAGAATATCTAAACAAATTGAAATTACAAAGTTTTATAAATTACTAAGGTGCTCGCGGTTTGGCGGTTTAGTTGCGGTCAAAGGAACCTTAAATCCGTCATCCGTCCAAAGCTAGGCGGATTGAAAAAAATAAATCCACAACCGTCCGCTCGTTATCACGCATCCATCCAAAATACGGCGGATCGGTTTTGTTCGGTCGACTTGGACAAATCAGTATATCCACTACTCACCCTTAAACAACACCCAAAATTATTTAGACTTCTTTGGGAGTTTGGTAAAAATCTAATTTATTGACTAAAAATAAGTTTACAAAAATTAATGTTAATAAAGTAGTTTGTTTATTAATTCTTAACTTTTTAAAAAAAAATTCTATTATTTTTTTGAATTGATTAAATTAAAAGTTTTTTGGCGGAGGATATGTTTGCTAAGTTTTATTTATTTAATTTTTTTATTTAATGAAATGACCTTTTTCTTAGCAATTACTTTTGTAATTTTTTTTGGGGGGTTTAAAAACTTGATGCGTTTGGCAATTACTAAAAAAAAATTACTTTACTTTTTACTTTTTGATGAAAATTACCATATTATTTTTATAATGTTGTGAACCTTTTGTTAATCAAAGTAGCATGATGGAATTTCTCAATATATAGAGTAAAATTATCTTTTAATAATTATGTTAACATTTTTTTAAAAAAAATTAGGACAAATTACATATATACCCTTTGAGGTTTAGCAAAATTACAGATACTCCTTGAGGTTTTAGAAATTACAGACACTCCGGAAGGTACTATTTGCATAACAAATTAAGAGATAAATTGTTATGAAAATATAAACTTTATGGAGTAATTTGTTATGAAAATATAAACCTCAGGGACTATCTGTAATTTCTGAAATCTCAAGGGAATATCTATAATTTAGCTAAATTTCGAGAGATGTATATGTAATTTGCCCAAAAAATTAATAGAGAAGTTGCTTTTCTAAGCCAACCAAACAAATTTTTTAATTTGGATTTTTCTTAATCAAAATACTACTTATTTAGAGATTGTCAAGCATCACCTCGGTTATCCTGCTAAGCCACAGCCAAACAAAACTTCACGTTAAAAAATAACAAAATTTTATTTATTTATTTTTATGTAATTTTTAGAAGAGAAAAGAAAGTCAAAATTGCTACAAGAGGGTAGTGGGGGTGACAGAGGGTTGATAATTGGAAAAATTATTGGAGATCTAAAGGCGTCATATAACGGTATTTTTTTATTAATTATAAATTATTATATTTTTTCATCATTTAGGTTAAGTTTGGCTAACTTACAAAAGTGCACTTATTTCATCTTTTTATCTTTTTTGGGTTACATTAATCAATATCTTCTCTCTACTTTTTCTACACATAATACAAAAAAAGTCAAAAAGTGCACTTATTTAGTCTTCGAAAGTCAAAATTGCTACAAGAGGGTAGTGGGGGTGACAGAGGGTTGATAATTGGAAAAATTATTGGAGATCTAAAGGCGTCATATAACGGTATTTTTTTATTAATTATAAATTATTATATTTTTTCATCATTTAGGTTACGTATGGCTAACTTAAAAAAGTGCACTTATTTCATCTTTTTATCTTTTTTGGGTTATATCAATCAACATCTTCTCTCTACTTTTTCTACACATAATACAAAAAAGTCAAAAAGTACACTTATTTAGTCTTCCCAAACAACCCCTTAGAGTTGGTTTGGGATGTTCTAAAAAAGTGTATTTTTTGATTTATTTTCTTATATAGATTGAGTTTTGGTTGGGTTTGATATGATGTGATTTAAATAAGATGATGTGACTTAAATAAAATAGTAATTTTTTGACTTTTTATATTATTTAATTTATACCAAACCAACTCTTAACATAAAATTGTAAATTTTATCTTTTTTATTAACCACAATACTAGTGGAGGTCGTATAGCGGTACGATTCGGATTGAACGGCTGTCAGATGTGGACCGCTCTCTCATTAACCTTATGGACGCCCCCATTTTGACTCTTCAATTTTTTTAGTGAAAAAATTTAGTTTTTTTATCCAAAAAAATTCAATTTTTTGTTAAAAAATATTTAAAAAGTCAAAAAAATCATCTTTTTATCAACTTTTCAAAATATCGCAATATTGTGTGACCACTGGACACTAGTTTTCTATGGGAGAAATTATTAAGGCACATCAATAATTTTTTTTCTTTTTTTAAAAAAAAGGATAGTTATTTGTCATTAAAAAAATAAAAATTGTTTAAAAATATTTGTCAAACACAACCTTATTTTAGGGGCGGTGAAGATTACATTTTAGATGAAATTGAATTACACATTTGGTTAAATTAGGTATAATTTAATTTAATCATTTAGCTATCAGTAATTGATAATTTGATTTTTTTTATATAAATTTTAAAAATAAAATGTGCTAATCATTTAAAATGGATCTCACTTAATATTTTTTTTCTTTTTTAAAAAAAAGGATAGTTATTTGTCATTAAAAAAATAAAAATTGTTTAAAAATATTTGTCAAACACAACCTTATTTTAGGGGCGGTGAAGATTACATTTAAGATGAAATTGAATTACACATTTGGTTAAATTAGGTATAATTTAATTTAATCATTTAGCTATCAATATTTGATAATTTGATTTTTTTATATAAATTTTAAAAATAAACTGTGCTAATCATTTAAAATAGATCTCAAAATGAATTCACAAATACACCTCTCCAATTACATCATCAACATCAAAAGGAACTCATCCTTTTGTTCTTACTTCTTTATTATTATTATTATTTGAGAAACTTTTAGGTTAGAAGTAATGAATTAGCTGGTTGGATCTGAACTAGCAGTACTTAGATTTGAAACTAGTTCTGAGGTCTCTTTCGAAAAGTGTTAAAAAAAGTCATTTTATTTATGTATTTGGATTATATAGAATGTGTTTGGTTTGTGATTTGAAATATATTTTTGGAAGAAAATTTTCAAAAACATGTTTGATTATAAATTTTCTCAAAAAAATTTCAAAATTACTTCTCTCTCTCTAATCAATCTTTTTTTCTCACACATATTTACTCTACAACAGAAATATCAAATCATCCCAAACTTTCAAACTCTACAATTATTTTCAAAATATACAACCAAACAAATCAAAAAAAATTCTAAACTCTTTTCATAATAAGTAACTTTTTGACTTTTAGGCTAAAACTGTTACATGCCAAACAAGGAATATCAGAAAAGCTAAGAAATCAGAAAATAATAATAATAATAAAAAAAAAAAAAATTTACTCAGAATGTTAGGGGTCATTTGGCATTGGCTAATATAGTCAATTTTTTTTTATTGTGACTTTTTTAGTTTGGTTTTTTTAGCCTCGTTTGGTTTTTGTTTTGAGACTTTTTTTACTTTTGTGAGAGAAAAAGTGTAATGATTATGGGTAGAAAGTAATATTTTGTTTTATTAATTTATATAACCTATTTTATCTGTTTATGTTTTTTTAACTATTTTATGGTTTTAATATTCCACCAAGAAAACCAAACGAGGGCTCAATGTAGGGTTTAAAGGTGGTTTGGAATGTCTTAAATAAGTGTACTTTTTGACTTTTTATAAAAAAAATGCGTAGAAAAATAAAGAGGAGATGTTAATTAATGTGACCCAAAAAAGATAAAAAGATGGACTAAAATAAGTTATGCCAAACAAGAAATTAGTATTGAAAAGCAAGCTTACATTTTTAATATCTCAACTATCCCTTAAATTTATGGGTTTATAGAATTATCCCATAAACATAAACAGTGGTGCTACATCCCACTAAAAAGGGATCACTAAGCCAGCAGCTCTAATGAGCTGGCAGTGCTGAAAATTTAAAAAAAAAAAAAAAACAAAGAGTAAAACATCACATCAATTAAAGTTACAATATTTTTAGAGCTATTAGAGCTCTTATTTTAGAGCTCTTGCACAATTTTCAAACACAAACATCACATTAATTGCACCTTGTCTGCTGGTGCAGTCAGTTCAGTTCCATGAAAACCCTAGAGTTAGAGAGTACCTCACTGACACCTTCTGCAAAACCTCAAATATTTTTGTTTGTTGTATTTCACCATATAAGAAATGCCCAGGTAACAATACAAACCATGCTTTGCTTTGTAGTAGCTTTCTTGTATTTTTTTTTCTTTTTTTTTTTTTGTTTTTTTTGTTTTTGTTTTTCAGGGCCTTACAATATTGTCCATGCCACATTAAATACACATCTACACTTTGTAGTTGTTTTCTTCCTTTCAATCATTACATTTTAAACAAATTTAAAAAGAAAAATTGTGTAAAAGGAAAATGTGTTAGATTTTTGGGTAGAAAAAATCATTTGTGGATAGGTATGGGGACATGTTAGTTTTGTAATTTTAATAATAACGATTCTAATAAAAATTAGAGACGATATGATATATTACAAATGATAATTTATACGTGATGAGAGTTAAAAATTGTAAAATGAAAATAAAAGAAGTGAAATTATATATAAATATATTTAGGCCAAGTTTGGCATGACCTAAATAATACAAAAAGTCAAAAAGTCACTATCCTATTTAAGTCACATCATCTTATTTAAATCACATCACCTCTCTAACACATCATATCAAACCCAACCCAAACCCAACCCATATAAGTCAATAAGTCAAAAAGTACACTTTTTTAGAATATCCCAAACCAACCCTTAATAAATATAATCAAGGTGAGGGTAGAACAGGACAAAACGGGATAGGAGGAGGAAATTCCATCCCTACTACACTTTTCATGGGGGCGGGGGAAATTGCCATCACTACTTATAAAAATCGTTTTCGGAATTTAATAAGACGGACAAGAGTTTAATTAAACTATTCCATTGTTACCCCCCTGTTACCGAGTGTCATTTTGGGAATATGATAAAAAGTCACATTTTTAGACAAAATATCTAAAAACGTGGCTGCTAAAAACATCAGAAAAGTCATTTGGCAAGTGCCAAAAACGCAGTCGTAAAATTACAAATTAGGGCCTATGAAAAAAAAATAAAAAAATAAATCTCTTATGTTAGGTAAGGGTATTTTGGTCATTTTAATTTGATTTGACACCATAAATAAATACTAAACTAAAAAGCAAAAAGTCAACTTTTTACCAACTTCCTAAATTACTCTCAAAAAAGCCAAAAAACTTGATAAAAAGCCAATAATCAGCTTTTTACTAACTTCTCAAAAGAAAAATGCTTGGGAGCACTAATTAGTGCTCCCACTAATTAGGTGGCAGTGGGTCCCGTCATTAATGATGTGATGTTTTGGTCTTAGCAAAAAGTCAACTTTTTACCAACTTTCCAAATTACTCTCAAAAAAGCCAAAAAAAACTTGATAAAAAGCCAATAACCAGCTTTTTATTAACTTCTCAAAACAACCCCAAACCACTAGATGGACAACTAAGAGCATCTTTAATGATTGTTGCTATAATATCATTACTGTTATTATAATTTAGCAATGAATAATATTATTTTGTCAAATTATAGTAATGATATTCCAATGGTCACTTGTTATTTTGACAATTCTCAACCAACTTTCCTTCTAAATTTGTAGGTGTTGTTTGGATATGGGTTTTTTTGTGATTTTATTTTTCTTTATTTTTTGTCTTTTATGACCTTTTTTAACTATTTGTAAAATATATATATATATATATATATATTATTCCCGACTAGACAAATATAAAAAATGAAAAAAATTAGAAAAATTAGAAAATAAATAAATAAATATAATTCAACTTGAAAAATTAAATAGAAATTAAATTTGAAAAATTACTTAGTTTTCTACTATTTCAATTCTGTTTTTTTAACTGAATTTGGAGCCACAAATATGTTCATATTTGTTGATGTGGCATGTTTGGCAATTGCTATTTTACTTGCCAAATTTGAGAACATATATGGCATATGTCATCTTTGACAAGTAAAATAGCAAGCTATTGGAGACTTATGTTTTATCACTATTGCTAAATTATATCTTTGGCAAGTGTTTGGAGAGCTCCATTAGAGATGCTCTAAACATCTAAAAGTGTTTTTTTGCAAAGAAAAATGTTTTTCTCTAAAAACGTTTCTGTAAAACCAAACAAAACTTTAATAGAGTTGAGTTTTGCATTTTTAGAAAATAAAATGCAAAAAGCTCGGCCTTAACTCTTATTTTGGTTTTTGACTTGTGATTTTTTGGTAGGAGGAGAACATGGATTTGAAGAGGAGCAAGGCTCATTCATGTGATGATTATGCTTGGACTGATTATATGTCCTTGCCCTTTACTCAAAATGTCAGTTTATTTTTGAAATATCATGAAGTAAAAATAGTTATTTAAAAACAAAAGAAAAGGAAAAACTAATAGTTAATTACTAAACTGTATTAGGTGATCAGTGAAACTCTTAGAATGGGAAATATCATCAATGCAGTTTGGAGGAAAGCTCTCAATGATGTAGAAATAAAAGGTCAGTCTGATACTTTAGCTCTCTACTTTTTTCTCTATTATTTAAGGAATTAAAACTCGATTTTTACATAATTTATTACTAAAATAATCTGACACTGATATTTTTGAAATTCAAACAAATGTTGATGAGTCTTTTTTATTAAAGTGATTAGATCAAGATTTTGTCAGGTCATTCTGTGTATTTAAAAAATAATAATTTAATGCAGGTTATTTGATACCAAAAGGGTGGTGTGTCTTGGCATCCTTCAGCTCTGTTCACATGGATGAAGAAAATTATGAGAAACCTTATCAGTTTGATCCATGGAGATGGGAGGTATTATTAATTAGCTAGTTTGTTAATTTTGAGCATTGAGCTTAACTTCTGTGGACATCATTCTTGCCATAAGATGAAGGGAAAAAAAATGAATTATTCATTCCTCAAGTTGTTATAATGTGGCCATGTAATAAATGGATTGAAATTTATTTGTAATTGTGCTACTGCAAAAATTTCATCATCATCATCAACCCCTTTGAGGAGTTTGTTTTTGGTTTATGACACAATTGCTAGTTTTATTATGATGATTTCAACCGTTCATTTGAAGGCCTTGCTATGTTAATTATTATTTTTAACAATCAACCTAATCCGATAATTGTAACTACTTGATTTCATTGTTCATTTTTCTTGAAAACAAATATAATAAAATCATATAACTAAGATTATCATCTTAATCTAATTTCTTTTTACACATAATCTACACTCAAGAACTTAAAAGATGAACATTCGAATCATCAAAACGGGATTGTGATGGGACCTGAAAGTCTTATTGTGAAACCCGATGTCTCATTTGTGTGAATCCAAAGAACAGAATAGTGATATCTCGGACTTTTTTTTTATTATTTTTATTTGATTAATTATAATTGATCAGGACAAAATCTAACATGGTGATCTCGGACCACAAAATAATTTTTCATATTTTTGTGTGTTTGTGTCGGCAGAAAACAGGGGCTGCTGTGGCTGTGAATTGTAGCAATACCTTTACACCATTTGGTGGAGGACAGAGGTTGTGTCCTGGTTTGGAACTCTCAAGGCTTGAAATCTCTATCTTCCTTCATCATCTTGTCACCACTTATAGGTAAAAAATAATAATAATAATTTTTTTTTTAAAGGTGAACTTGTGAGACATAATAGTAGTATATTTGTACGGGGAAGAAATAATTCTCCTCGTATAATCCTGTTGACTAAGTCCACGCTCCTCCGTACGATGTCGCTTTGTCACCTGAAAACACAAACGTGAGCTAGCCGGCGGGTGTGTGCCGGAAACCTCTCCGATGCCGCTTTGTCACCTGAAAACACAAACGTGAGCTAGCCGGCGGGTGTGTGCCTGAAACCTCTCCGATGCCTAAGTCAGAAAACTTGACAAATAGACAAAGCTCAATGTGTTCAGAAAGCAAAATTGTATGTTGTATTATGTTACCTCCTCCAAGGTGATGCTTGTGAGCTTTTTATAGGTTTTGAGTGGTACAATCCTAGTAGGACTTTTATTTCTCCATGCAAAGTCCTCCTAGGATTCATACTCCTAAAAGATAATGCTTATCCTTTCACACCCCCACTGCTTAAACTAAGTGGGATGGTTTTCACCATGGCCGAACTATCATCCGACCGAGATAAACCTGGCTATGCTGAGCCATAAAGTAAGCCGAACTATCCTTAGTTCGGCCCTTCTGCTTATATTTCCTTATCTTGGTTCTCACTTGTTCAACTCATGGTGTGCTTGGACCGAACCAATGACTTCGACCGGTATAACTCCAAAACCGGTATACCTCTAAAGCCGGTATAAATTCAAGAACGATGTACCTTCAAGACCGATCTAACTTCAAGTTGCTCCCGGACCGAAGTAGTTTAACAATTCACGAGCCGAAGTAACTTCATCTCTTTTGGCAGGAGTAACTTTATCTCCCTTGGGCCTGAGTAACTTTTCGGCTCTTTTTATTCAGTCTATCATACTTTGGGCCATAAAGTCCGTCTCATAGCTCGGCCCAATTTTCACTCAAAATTACCCTCTCAATTGTCCCTTAATTCCATCTGCACAGCATGATTGGGATTACCAAGTGTCCAGCCGAGCTAAACGTTTTCAAGCCTTTCCAGCCGAACTAAAACATCGTTTTAGCCTCTCCAGCCGAGCTTATTTTCACTCCGGCCCTAATTGTTCGGTCAAAACGTCTCTTCAATCACTGACTGTAACGCTTCACTTTCCAATGACACGTGGCAGGTTCTGATAGGTTGTGAGCTGTTATCACGCCGCCCTCGTACTTCGAAATTTTTGAACAGTCTCGCCCCTTTTTGCCTCTTTTTCTCTCTCCTTTTTCACAAAACAACCTTTCTATTCTTGAATCATTCACTCATACTTTTCAAATTCTTCTCTCTCTGTGCCTCCATTTCTTCATTTCCAATAATAGTAGTATATTCAATATAAACCATCTCGGCAACTTTATAATAATAATAATAAATACATGCTTAGAATTATTGTTAAGAATTTCACTCAGAATAGTGAAATGTGATTGAGATTCAATCAGTGGATTATAAAGTTCATATATAGAATAAATTTGAGCCAACATTGATATTTCTAAATAAAATTGAAGTATTACTTGATATATAATCTAGGGTCTGTTTGATTCCAGTATAACTACATAGGATCGCACAAATGGCATCCAACTTAGTAATACGGAGGACTCTTAATCTTACAAAATTGCAATATATTTAATACGGAGGATAGGTATTAACAATCCTACATATAATTATTCCATGAAATTGTTAATCCTATCACTAATACTGCAACTAATCAAACAAAGGCCTAAGGTCCTACAGGCAAAAGGAAGAGGTGATGATCATGGCAAGATATTTAGATGAGCATGAACTGGAAAGGGAAATTGACCAAGACGGTTTACGATGAGTCAGTTCATGCAAAGGACATCCCTAGATTTGATTTTTGGGGTGCATCCACAATAACTTTGTAGAAATGTGGATGATGCCCACCAAAGCGTTGTCTCCAATCTTCAAAAAAATTGACTCTACTATCCAGTTCCCACCTCCTGGGTCCATCAAAATAGACCACTTCAATAATTTAGTTGGTTCATCTTTTTATGCTTCTATATGATTATTTATGAAAATAATTAAATTGATAAATATGAAGAAATTATGTTGCTACAATTATTAGATAGAATTTACTTTTTATCCACAGATGGTTTACATAAAAGGTTAGCAATGTTACAACATGAATACTATGCACCATGATAAAGTTTTCAAGACAAGCACAAAAATAAAATGCGAATTAAATTTATTTTAAAAGTATCAAATTTAAATTTGCACTGTACATTTTATTTCGTAGGGTTACCTTGTATGTATGTGTGCAGATGGGTGGCATGGAAGGATGAAATAGTCAATTTTCCAACAGTGAAGATGAAGCAGAAGCTGCCCATCACCATCTTCCCCATAGACATAGACCATTGAGTTTTATTACTATTATTATTGTTATGTATAATGTATAATGTTTTTACAGCTGACAGCTGTGACTAATAGTTAGATTTGGCCCATACAGTCCCATTAGGTCATCTAGATAAACATCACTACTCAATCAAGTATATGTAGCTGCAGATATATATATATATATATAGATAGATGGATAGATAGATGTGTACCCCATGATTCTTGATCAATCAATTTATGTAGTTTATTTAGTTTTCTAAAGCAATTTCCTAGTATGTGTACTGAAATTTTAGATTCATCATGATATCGATATTCACTAGTATATATTGGGCAATATTGTCTATTATCATTTGATATATGATATAACATCAATATAAACATATATATTTCGATACTATTATTTAAGAAACATGATACAGACGCAATGAATATCAGACTAAGACGAGATATTGAAATTGGTGAGGTGTGTAGTGTTGTATGATAGAGTTAGTTGGAGTGTCATTGTCTTTGGGCCATGTTTCGTAGTCCCCTATGGATTGAATGCAAGTGGGAAGGAAAGGAAGTGATCAAACACTCTTTCTATCCTATATATATATACATAGGGAGGTCCCAATCTATAATAAAGTGAGAGTGGTTAATTAGTTGATAAGGACGTATGAGGTGGTGTGACCTTGGGCTGAGGGTGGTGGACCGGTGGTGGTTATGTCCCCATAAGTGCACGTGCGGTGATACCCCAGTTAATAATGTCCAGTTCGTGGTTGCACACCCTAGGTCCCTAGTACAAAATTTGTACTAATTGTTTCATAATTGCATACCCACCCTTCCATTATCACTAGGGTTGCCATTTGGAGGGCACAATTCGAGGAGATAAAGGCTTGGTTTGAGAAGTGGGTTGGCTTTTGACTTTTTGACATTTTTAGTTATTTTAGTGTCGGGCTAAAAGTCTGGTTTTAGAAGAACTTTTGACTTTTTTGACATTTTTTGTGAGAAAAAAGAATGTAATGATTATGGGTTGGATGTAATATTTTGTCTTATTGGGGCTAAAAACTTATTTTATTTTTTGTGCCTATTTTAGCTCCAAACTCACCCAAACTTACTTCTCAAACCATGGCAAAGTTCAATTTGAAATCTTTTAAGGCTTTAGCAATATATTTTTCAATTTAATGTGTTTTAACAGTAATTTAGAAGTTGAAATTAAAGTTGGATTAGATTTTAACAAGCAAATTTGAGTTGAAAGTACTTAGATAAGGTATAAGTAACTGTGAAGAGAATTTAAATTGACCTGAATAACCCCATCTTGATTGAAACCACTCGAATTGTCTTGGACATGGAGAAAAATTAGGATCAATTTTATTTTTTTTCGGATTGAAAAAAGAATTAGGTTTAACAAGATATTTTGTAAGGATTTATGTTAAAAACACAAAATTTTACCATAATGAAAGACAAAAATATAGGTTCCATGTAGGTGGGGTTCACACGTGGGGTCGCTCATTTTACATCTACATCATATTGAAAATTTATGTGCAATTAAGGCTTTTTTTTTTTGAGAAGATAATTAAAAATTATCTTTTAATTTTTAACATATTTTGAGTTATATTATTTCTTTTTACATATTTTTTTTAAAAAAAATTTAAAAAATCAAAAAATTAATTTTTATCAACTTTCTAAAACAGCCCTAAGTTCTCTCATTAAGATTGTTTTTATTTTATTTTGTTTTGTTTTGTTTTATTAACGAAAGAAGTTGAAAAAGTGAAATTGACAAGTCAAAGAAGTTCATTATGCACACTCATCATTTTTTGATTAGAGGGTTTAAGCTGTCTTCGCCACATCAAATCATTTCATGAAGAAGTTATTTAGCCTCCGTTTGGGAAGTGGGTTGGCTTTTTGGCTTTTTGATTTTTTTGGCTATTTTAACTTGGGCTTAAAAGTTTGGTTTGGGAAGGGCTTTTTGGCTTTTTTGAGTTTTTTTGTGAGAGAAGAATGTAATGATTATGGGTTGGATGTGATGTTTTGTTTGTTATTGCTAAAATAGCCTATTTTATTTTTTGTGGCTAAAATAGCCAAAAAAGCCTGCAAACCTACTTGCCAAACACAGGCTTAGTAGTCTCGTAATTAAGAATGTTATGATTAATGAAGGGAATGAGATCCATTAAGATATGTAGAATATTATGAGAGATTTGATTGTTTGCTAGAGAACGAAAACACATGATATTTTAGACCAACAAATAATTTTTCCATTTTCCCATTTGATAATGAAAGTTACAACCACACACCAATGAATCTAGTTTCTTTTCTTTCTTTCTTTCTTTTTTTTAAAGTGAGATTTATATATATATTTCAAAAAAAAAAAGTATAAATCACCAAATTTGGCATTGTTTGGGATGGAATTTTTGGCCAACATAATTAAAATATCATAACTTACACATTAATTAATAGTTTTTTTCCCTCAACTATCTATTCAGCCAAAACAATTATTCTAAACACACTAATCCGTTTGCTTTAGTTTTAAAATCATGATTTGAGTGTGGAGTTGTGTTTTGAAAGATAAGTTTTTTGAATGAATTTTGAAAAGAGAAAACTTATTTGATTATAAGTTTTGAAAAAAGTTTTGAATTGTATTTTGAAATTGTTTTGGCTTTAATTTTTTAAAATATTTAAAAATTATCTTCTTTCTTCTTTTTTTTTTTTTTTGTTTAGGGTAAAACTTTTTATTGTAATTTTTTTTAAATATTTAAATTTCAAAATTTTTGATTCGCTCATATATATTTAAATCATAACAAATTATTTGACCAATACTTAAAAAATAATAAAATGTTTTTTTTCAAAAAATAAAATAAATAAAAAATATTTTTCTTCAAAAATAAAAATAAAAATAAAAATAATATTTTCTGAATTTTTTAAAAAAATAAAATATAAAAAACAAAATAAAATAATTTTTTTTATTGTTTTTAAAAAAGAGTTTTGAAAATATTTTGGTTATGAGTTTTGAATTTTTTTTTTTTTTTTGAATTGAGTGTTTATAAATTTTGAAATTTTTTGATTGGAATTATGATTTCAAAACTTGACCAACCCTATCTAATTTTTTTCCATCTCATAAAAATGTCAAAACATTGCTAAAAAGGTCAAGTTTCAAAACGGAGAAGTTTTTGGTTGATTTTGGAGTATTGCTCCACACTATTCATTGAGAGACAAGTGTCTTATTATCTTCAAAAAAAGAAAGACAAAAATATGGTGAATCCTACTGATTCAACCAATAATAATTAAAGTTGGAGCACCATCTCAGCTCACCCCAGGAGCAAACCATAATTTTCCAAGAGTATTCTCAACACTACACTTATCCAAGTGACTGAAAATAATTGTCTCGTTCAAGGGTCTGGAGTTGGCGTTCCTTTAAAAGTGTTTGTAATTCTTCTGAGGCTTTATCAATTTTCATATTTTTTGGTTTAAATGAAGGCCGAAACCAAGAGCTGCAAACCAACAATTCTAGGCAGGCCTTGGGGCCTTATACTTGCATTTTAATTGAAGCTGGACGAGAGGAGAAAGTATTTTATCATCCAATCGATAATTAAGAACATGTGGTTGGGCTTTACAGGGTTGCAAATAAGCTGAATGACTCAATTACAAACACATATATAATACGTATTCATTCATTTTGTAGACAAATCGAGCTCAGGTTGACAAACAAGTTAAGTTTAGATTCTATTTATTTTGATGTAAAATGTTTTTGTTAAAAATATTTTACTTATTTTATGTTATTTGGTTGAACAAAAAATAAGTAAAACATTGTTAAGAAAAATATTTTTGTATCATTTTTCTAAAAATGACGTACCTTTAAAATTTTCGTAAGTTAACTTTTACAAAGTTAATTTTCACCCACTACCTGTTCAACACATTTAACATTTTCAAATAAGTATCTTAACTTACTAAAAAGTCATAAAATGACACTTTATTAAAACAAAATTTCTCTTTTAGGTAATAAAATATATTTTTTTCAAGTGTTAACCAAACGCCAAAAATCAAAAACAAAAATATTTTGTGTAAACTATTTTACGTCAAAACAAACGGAACATTGAGCACAACTCAGCTTTACCTATTATGTTGGTGCGTTGGATTGAATTTTTTTTTTTTTTTTTTTTTGGCGCACACTGTGCTTCCAATTTTGATCTAGTTGAAGTTTTTACTTTCGTGTTGGTATTATTGTTCTCGCAATTGATTGGAGTGTACCACTCACTTAAAACAAGACTGGTTAAGCTTGAACATACAAGCCTTGAGCTCATCCAAGTTCAAGCAAACTTGACATCCTTGATGTGCTCAATTCATCTCCTAAGGTCGCAAAATAAGCACATTATTCATGGACAGTTTGAGATTGACTCAGTAACGCAGGATGTACCATGTTTGTTCATGCTCATTCATTAACAAAAGTCAAGACCAAGCTCAGTTTTTAAGCTCAGCTAGTTAATGAACCGAGCATCTGCAATGTAGAGCTCGGTCATTTACAGTCCAAGTGCTAAGAAATTACCCCAGATTAATAATGGGAAATGTTTGCATCAACTAATATTGACTTCTATATTTGATCAGTTAAAGGTGTTTGTCTCATTGCACACAAACTCAATCCGCAAGAGTCAGGTGTGGCTTATTTTGGCCAATTTATAAATTCTAGTTTTAGAAAAACTATTTTAGACTGTTTGGTTAAACTATTTCAAACGGCTTATGATTCTAGTAACTTATTTTGGCTCCGTTTAGTAGAGCTGTGGGAAAGTAATTATAGATTATAACTTAACAGATTATAACTTATAGCTGTGACTGTGGGATTATAGATTTAAGTAGTAGAATAGTGTTTGGTAAATAAGCTGTAAAGCCAATTTATAAATTCTAGTTTTAGAAAAACTATTTTAGACTGTTTGGTTAAACTATTTCAAACGGCTTATGATTCTAGTAACTTATTTTGGCTCCGTTTAGTAGAGCTGTGGGAAAGTAATTATAGATTATAACTTAACAGATTATAACTTATAAAATTATAGATTATAACTTAACAGATTATAACTTATAGCTGTGACCATAAGCTGGTAACCTATTTGGTGTAACTGTGGGATTATAGATTTAAGTAGTAGAATAGTGTTTGGTAAATAAGCTGTAAAATAGTTTTTTCTGTATAACTGAACTTTTTGCCCTTATATAATATAAAAATGATAATTTTGTCATTTTTTTTTTCAATTTTAATTTAAAAAATTTATTTCATTAATAAAAGTTAATATAATTAGTATTAATTAGTATTAACTAATATAAAAATTGATACACTTGATAAAAATGTAATGGAAGTATTATTGTAATAATTTTTTTTCCATTATAAATTAATTAGTATCAATTAATTGCTTAATCAATATCAATTAATACTAAAATTATTAATTAGTATCAATTAATGGCTTAATTAGTCTGAATTAATACCAAAATTATTAATTAGTGTCAATTAATATTAATAATTAATTTTTATTAGTATCAAATAATATTAATAATCAACAATTGTTATTAATTAGTATCAATTAATAATTAATTCATTACAAAAATATACAATATTAAATTTTTTTGACATTTCTGATTCTGTTTTTATTAAATTTTTTAATTACAATTAATAATATAACAATTGTTATTTTTTTAATTTATTATTCTTCTTCATTACAATTAAATTATGTAATTTATTTAATGGATATAAATTGCACAATTTATTTCAATATTAATAAATTATTTTTTTTATTATTTTGTTTAATTTATTTTTTTTATTTCAATTTATTTTGTTCAATATTATTTTTGTTTAATTTATTTTTATTTTTTTTTTCCTTCTCTTCCTTCCTGAGCCATCTGTAAGCCGCCGGTGGTCTGAGAGAGAGTGTTGTCGCTCGTCACCGTTCACCCGCCTGAACAACACCAGAGATGGGACCTGGTTCGTGAGAAACAAACAGAGAGACAGAGAAAGACAACGACAGATCTTCGTCTTCATCAACGAGCAACCCAAATCTCGTCGTGTCGTCATCCCCGTCACCATCGCGCTTCCAAACCCTATCAACCCAACCATGTGCAGAGAGATCGAGTGAAATTGTAGATCGAGCAACCCAGATCTTCATCTTCATCTTCATCTTCATCGAGAGAGAGAGAGCACAATGCCGGAAATCGCCTTCACACGCTGAAAATCGCCAATCACTCTTTGAGATGAGTGAACAATGTTTTCATTGTTGCTTATATAGTGGGCATTTGGTAATATTTGAAATTGATGAGGGGCATTTTAGTCATTTTGCCCCTCAATTCCAACTTCCCACTTAAGCTGCTTCAAAAAGCACCTCCTCACCCACTCACAAAATAATCAATTTTTTGACTTATTTTAAGCTAAAAGTTGATCACTTAAGCTAGACGCCTCGTTTGGCAAGAGACTATTTTAGCCAATTAGTCAAAAAGTTACTAAATTAGCCAAAAAGCCAACAACTCATACCAAAAAGTCAAAGATTCTCTTTTCTCTCTACTTTTTGCACATCTTTTCGTAATTAGCCAAAAAGTCATCCCAAACATACAAGTTTTTTTTACCTACCTTTTTAGCCAAAAAGTTAATAAATTAGCCTGTTCAAACACTCAAAAACTACTTAATTTAAGCTAAAAGCTGAAATAAGCTAACTTTAACACTCAAAAACTACTTAATTTAAGCTAAAAGCTGAAATAAGCTAACTTTAAGCTCTAACAAACAGGCACATTTAACTCAAAAAAACTGATTCTGATAAGCTGTTTACCCTTTGTTTCTTCTGCTGTGGACATGTTAATTTAAGGTTATACTCTTAAGTTTTTTATTTTTTATTTTTTTTAAAAATAGAAAAAGACCCAAATGGACTATGAATTATTATTATTATTTTTTATGAGAAATGTAGACAAGTAGTAAATAACGAAAAATTAAAGGTTGTGTTTGGAAGAATTTTCAAACTATAATTCTACCCACACATTCTAATATCATGTTTGGGTAGAGTTTTTAAACTATATTTCCACAACAAACAATAAACTCTGTCCGGCGCGATTTTCAATTTTTTTTTTTTTAAATTTGGTCTAACCGGTCATCCCACCAAACGTCCCACAGGTCGTCCGGCTAGTTGATAGGAACAATGCAATTTTTATTTTATTATTTTGTAATTGACACATGTTAATTTTTATATATTCAAAAAAAATATTTTCTGAATTTTTTTTAATAAAATTGTGAACTTTAATAGAATTTTGAATTGTGTGTTTGGTTATGAGTTATAAATTTTTGTATCAAATATCATATGTCACATCAAAAATTCTTCACTCAATTCAAAACTCTTTTTAAAACTCAAAGCTCTTTTTAAAACTCATTCACCAAATAAAATTCACACTCAAATCATAATTTCAAAACTCACAAACTCAAAATATAACTCCTATTCTCAAATCATATTTAGAAAACTTTACCAAAGTTAATTCAAAAAACTATTTCACAGCTTATTTAACAAACACTACTCAACAACTTAAATCTATAATCCAACAGCTATACCAAACAGATTAATAGCTTCCGATTAAAGTCATAATGTATAATCTGTTAAGTTATAATCTATAATATGTTTTAATAGTTACACCAAACGGGGCAGCCTTGTGGATTAGGAAAAAAGAAAAAGCATTCCAAGTGAGGGCTATATTATGCCAGTTCGAAGCTTTTAACTTGGATAATTAAATTCATAAGCAAAGGCAAGTACTAAGAGAGGAAGAAGCACCTAGATATATTCTTCAAGAAGAAAACGAGGATATATTCCCTAGAAGGTAGCTTGAATTTTACACAACTTAAAACATCAAGAGGAACATCATCTGTGAAAAACAAGAATCAAGGTTCAGTGTTCACCTTATATGGGGGAAAAGTTTATAAGCAGCATTACCATCTGCCTGAGAGGTTTATGACAAATAAGTCAAGCCATGGCCTTTTTCTTCTCTTCCTCGAGCCGCTGCAGCTGCTGCCCAAGTCCTTTCAGAACCATGCTACTTCCTTGGCCACTAGCATGCATTTTTCCCGCTCTAATTCTTTTAATATTTTTCTTTCTTTTTGCCTCCTGCAACTGTGCTTTCCGTTTCTTTGCCTCAGACTGTGCAGGGTTAAAACCCAGTTAAAAATAAATTAGTATTACGTCTAGAGGGAAACAAAAGAATCCACGGGTGAGGTAGCAGGCAAATTAATATAAAGAAAGTGCTTTGTACTGACCAAAAGAACAGAAAAATATATATGAGAAGGGAATCCAAGGTGCATTCGGATCTAAGGATGCCCTTAGCAAACTAATGCCCTAAAAGATAGCAAGTGTATCACTGACTTGCCATCAGAACAACCAAAATATTTAAATTTCAAGAGCTGTGAAATAGGATACATGCATCATGAGAAGTGAGCACTAAAAATCTACATGTATCCACTGGGCTATTTTTGTAGCTGGCCAAATTGACATTGAACTTCTAGAGAAGCATTATGTGCACACAAAAAATGAGATATCAAAAAGGAACTTGATCCAGAAAGGCCACAAATCTAGCTAATTGAGTTTGGCCCAGATGTGCTAGAGCAATTCAAAGCAGAATTCATGACTTTTCTCACCATCTCAACTCATCTTCCTATTGGCAAATCATTTTATGCTTGCAGTTCCTTTAAATTGCATTACGATCACTCCTTCCAAATGCATTTATTAGCCTTTACATCACATGGTAAAAACAACTAAAAGAACTTTCTTTGATCTTGCCGTCATTGGAAGCATCAACTTCTTGAAAAACAATCAATTTACAAAGTCTTGATATATGCCACAAATAACTACCAACAAATTATACCATACATTGATTTTTGCTAATTAGCAACAAGAATTTTAATGATGCAAAAAATTATTATGCCTAAAAAAGTTTTGTTAGTAAACTAAGAAAATTTTGCTATAAAGAAGTCTTACTTAAAGAACAAATTGCTAGCAACCATGTAGGGACCTGATATTAGGCAATCGGTGTTAAAGGGTGAAGGTAGCATTTAGGTTCCTATGAAGATTTGAACATATTTTGTAGCATTACCTTAGAAAAAAAAGAAAAGGACAATGATACTGCCAATGGTGGAGTTATTATGTGTGCCTTAGAAAAATTGTAATAGCAAACATCCTGTGGTATCATCCTGTTCCCTTCTGGCCTATTAAACCACAACCTCCTTCACAGCACTTGGCCTCATAACTGATCAACATGCGACATAGCACAACTTACTTTGTGCTGCCCTTTAGGCAAGGGCTTGTATACTAAGTCAATACGGAATGAAAAGATAAACCATCCAAACTGTGTAGATTTTAAAACACTTTGAACTGAGCAACTGAATTTGTCGTCTCCATTTGATTATTAATTCTACTTATAAATTCTGATCATGGTAACTTGTTTGTTATTCCGCCCTTAAGTCTCAACTTGTTTCTTCAAAGATCTAATATCGAAGTTCCAAATTCAGAATTGCAGCTTTTCTGCTCACAAAAACTTATGACTAAGACTGTCAAAAGAAGCAAATAAATACTTCTTAAGTTGCTGAGTTTAGAGGACCTTAAAGACTAAAAAGATCATAGATTGAATTTGTAAAAAAAAACACATGTTGACCCAATTATGGACCTAAATAGAGCACATAACGAAAAATGCAATTTGAATGATCAATCTCAAATGGCAGAATAGGAATCTGTTGAGATGCATCATCAGTCAATGAATAAGTTATCAATTCTTTATCATTGATAATTTGGGCAGAAGTGTTGAATATTTTGAAGAAAAAAAAAAAGAAGCAGAAAACTCATAGACATCCTTCGATTTCCATTGAATAGCTATCCAATCATGAATAATGAACACGGTCATCAACACTCACATGCAAATTGCCAAAGCTTGGCCAAGGTTTGAAGGCCATGGGAATCAACTAGAAACACAAGCACACAGCTTTATGTAAGTACACAAGCAACTTCAGAATCAACAAGCAGGAATACATAAAAGAGGACTAGTTAACTTATGTAGCAAGAACTCGAGGGTTAGAATAGCTTAAAGTAGCTCTGTAAGACAACATATTCCCTTTACAACTACATACAACTTTAAATATTACACTAATCAAAAACAGATTCAATATGGGAGTACTTATTTTTCCCTCATTTTCATCCTAGCTTAATCAATGACATAAGGTCCGGGAAGTGTAAAAAAGACAATAAAAGGAGGTTGAAGGACTCTCACTCACCAATATAAATGCCCTCCGCTGCCTCATTCGCTTCTTCTCATTCCTTCGCTTGACACTTCCCTCATTGGGTTGGTTCGGAAGTATTGGCTCACCAGGCACATATTTAACAAAAGCATATGGTCCTGCATTTTTCATGGCAATAAGCAATTGCATTAGATTCTAACACCACCATTTTGACTGATTCCAAATTTTGAGTAAAACCCTAATTCTATGATATACATACAGAGATAATAAAAAAATAAAAAATAAAAAGAAACAAATTTTGACACTTCCAGTGTGTATAATAATAATGATAACAGTAATGAAACCAAACATTTGAATTTGGAAGATGTGAAAGAGGAGATTGACGAACCAGGGGGTTTCAAGCTGGCTCTCTTTCTTTTAGGTTTGTCAGCGGGGCGTCTCTTGGGGAGGCGAGTGTCTGTTAGGCTGTGGAAAGAACTCGACGCCGGGATCCATGGAATAGTCCGGTGGAGTGGCCGGAGAAGAGAAGTGGCCGGAGTGGTGGTGGTGGTGAGAGAGAAAGGGGAGGGGGTGCGGGCTGATAATAATAGGGTTCTAGAAACGGGTCGAATGATGGATCTTAGGGCTCCCAAACCCATGATGGTTTCTCTGAGCTTATGGACTCCACGGTTCCAAAATCTGTAATATTTAGTATTAGAGAAGGAAGGAAGGAAAGGAAGGAAGGGGCAGAGAGAGTGTGACGCCCAATTTAAGGGGTGATTATTCAGTAGTTTGATTGGTGAAGAGGCAGGGCTCACGATTTATGTTGAAAATGAGAGGATAATATGGAACTAATTAATTAGTGATTGGTTTGGAGTATGGATAGGTGGTACTCCGGGAGTATTGAATAATTTCTCCAATTTAAGATTATTATTCACCCTAAACAAGTTGTAAAACAAATCAAATTATAAATCACTTTTTGGTTAATTTTTTAAGTGCAATCAAAGTCAAGTTATGATCGAGATCTCAAAAAATGAGTTTCACATCTACAGAAGATATTTAATAAAAATTTTGACAAAATTTTTAAAATCTCTAACATTTTTGATCAAACTCATCTCCTTTGTTTTTTTATTCTTTCTAGTAATAATTTATTTTCATTATTCTCTCTCTTAATGATTTTTTTTTTTTTGGTTGCTAATACACATTTGAAACATTCCTGCATTTTAGTTAACTATGTTTTAACCTTTCTTCGTTGTGTTGTGTTGTGTTTTTTTTTTTTTTTTTTTTTTTTTTTTTTTTATTTTTTTTGGGTTTTGGGGTGGGGGGGGGGGGCGAGTGTTGGGTTGTGGGGATTATTTAATGTAACTCCAAATGAATTATTTTTGTCCATTTGGTCTAGCAAATGAGGCGCTTCTTTATCAAATGTGATACTCGGGTTTGAGTTTGATCTCCAATACGTGATGCAATTTTTGTAAGCTTTCCACAAGAAAGTCTGAGTCAAATCCCAAAGAGTAAATATAGTGAGAAAAAAAGTAAATGTACTAATTTATATTATCTTTGTAATATAAATATAAGCGTTTATATATAAAAAGTTATTTGATAGGTCTGATTTACTTAAATGGATGTGTGCCCATCTTATAATAAGATGACACATAGTTAATTTGTCTAAAATGTAAGAGACACTAATATCATGACCTAATACTCTTGAAAGAAAAGATTAGATATAGGTTGGACTTATAGGATCATTTTTTGTGTACACAGAGTAAGAGAGAACCTAATAACTAACTGCTTGGACAGCCCAACCTAACTACTAAACTAACTTCTCTTGCTAACATTTCCTTCTTCTATTCCCCTATTACCGATTGCCAATTTTTTTTTAAAAAAAATGCAGTGAATGTTAGAGAAGTAGGACATCTTATGCTTGAAAAAATGGAAAAACAATTGACAAACAAATGAACAAAGAAAAAAAAAATTGACAAACAAACAAATAACTGAAAATAAAGAGCAAGAAAGATTCAAATTCAAAGATTTTGCATCTGTATATCGGTTGAGCTAATATCACAACAGAAAGTTAACCTATCATAAAAGCCAAGTATTTCACAGATGACATGATCTTACACTAGTGACTGCTAATTCCACTTGCGAGATAGATGGATTGAAGTGTCGAGCATTTACAAGATGACATGAACACATTGAAAAATAACAGGAATGATACATCCCCCCATTTTGGACCCCCAATGACATGGCAAACACTTGTTGGATAGTTTTACATTTTAGTGGAGTTTCCAAGTGATGTGGCTTATGACACATCGCTTGGAGTTGGTTTGGGAGTCCCCAATTAGAGGTCCAAAACGTTTTCCAAAAAATAATTCATAACTTGATACCTAAAAGTTTCAGAGGATCAATGTAAGATAGCCGAGAACATAAGAGCATAAGTTAGTTTATCATTTCAAAATGAACTAGTTCAAGAGCAATATGCACATAGTCCTACAATTGCAATAGGTTTTGTGCTGCTACCCTACACAGGACAACCAGTCACCATTAAAGAGGGGCACATTGAGGTAAGGATCAATAATATAAATAGGAAAGATAACGATAAAATGTTTACAAAGATCAAAATTACTGATATAAAGAGAACAAAACCGATTTTGAGTTTGTTTATAGGAAGTGGTGGTATAATTCTAGTAGTGTTGGTTCAAAATGTCGATCTAGATCGAGGGGACGTGACTTTTAGAGACTACTGCAGCTGGAATTGCAAATTGACTAGAATTTTGACAATGTTGGTGGCAAACACACGCACACTTGGACATAATAAGACTGATTTTACTTCTATGAACCAGGCTATAAGAATCAAAATGAGATAGATAAATTCTTTCATTTTGACTGACAAGGTGGGGCTGAACCATGATTTCAGCTTTTGGACAAAAATTATGCAAACATATAGTATTTCTATGGACTGCAAGAAGCAGCCAATGTTGCATTGCTTGTGTCCCTCAGCTTTGCGTGATCATGAAACCATATTCCAGCTTGATTGAATGAAGAAAGCAAAAGCAGCAACTCCTCATTACATAGCTTTGAAGGCCTCTTATCTTCAAAACCACTGGACCTTAGAACATCAACAATTTTCTCCTTAAACAAATTCATCTCCGTTCCCGAGCAAGAAAAAGAACAGTCCCCTCCATCACTTCCACCTTCTTCGTCTTCTTCCCCTTCATCATCACTACAGTCTTCACTGTAACAATTGATGATATTATCTTCATTAGAGCCAGTTGTTCCACACAATTTATACAGCTCCATCACCTTCCTCTTCTGCTTAAACGTCGCACGTAATGTTTTATTCTTCTTACTAAAGCATGTTCTTGTGAAAGCCCACCACTCGTGAAGATTCACATCAGGAATTTCAGCTTTAGGCCAGATTTTAACGACAGACGAATCAACTTTTGGAATGGGTACAAAGTCTCTCTTGCTTACATCCATAATAAATTTCACATCAGCGACAAGCTTCACATTTACAGCTAAACGGTTGAACTCGGAGTCTCCAGGATTAGCCAATAGCCTTCTTGCAAACTCTTTCTGAAGGAGAAGCGTTGCGCTCCGAAATGGGTTCGACCCAAACACCAACTTAGCCACCAGAGGCGAAGATATTCCATAAGGAATGTTGGCCACAACAACATCAAACCTTGGAAATTCTGTTTTCAACGCATCACCGCATATAACCTGCAATACCCAATTCAAAAATCAGCTCATTCTAAAGACATTCAAGCTCAACCTCCATAAGGAATGTTGGCCACAACAAGATCAAACCTTGGAAATTCTGTTTTCAACGCATCACCGCATATAACAGTAAGTCGGTCCCCAAACCCATTCTCTGCAACGCGACTGTGGAGAATCTCCACCATTCGCTTGTCAATTTCGACCGCTACGACCTTCTGGGCAGCTTCGAGGAGCTTGAGAGTGAGATTTCCTGTGCCGGGTCCGATTTCAAGCACCGTATCGGTCGATTTTATATCAGATTTTCGTACGATGGAGTCGAGAACTCGTGGGTTGGTGAGAATGTGTTGACCCCTGCTTTTCAACAGATGTATGCGACCTTCTTGATTTTCTTTTCTCTTTCGGATATTGTCATCGTCGTCTCTGAAGTTGTAGCGACTCCGACGACTAGGCTTAGAATGAAAAAATCGCAGGCCGAGGATGAGTCTTGAAACGTAGACTGAGATGGGTTTTGGATGGTGAAGCATTTGGTTACTTTGTCTTCTCTGAATTGGTGAGAAAGACAAGCGCTTTGGCCGAGTGGCAGTTCATTGAAAATTTGAATTTCAGTTGGGGGTAAGTTTGGGAATACAGAGCCTGGTTCGGTTTAACTCCCCCCACACAATTTTTTAAAAAAAATTCTAAAATCACATTTTCTCTTTCATATCAATCAATTATTTTTTCTCTGACATCTCTCATTATCAATCACTTTTTCTCTCACACATATCTACTTAACTACAATAAATATCAAATTATCTCAAACTCTCATACTTTAAAATTATTTTCAAAATATATAATCAAATAAACCAAAATTTTTTTTTAAGTCTTTCCCGAAATTTTTTTTTTTTAAATTTATTGAGAATTGATGGACTGGGCCGAGAAGCTCATTGGGCCTGTGGAGATTAATTTTTCAGCTGTCATTAGTAGGCATGAAATTTTGGACCGGAGGCCCGTGGCCCAAGCAATCTCATGCACACACCCCTCGGGCTAATACTATGTTTAAATAATTAAAAAAAAAAAACACTCGAATAGACGCATAAGTCCAAACCCTGTAGGGCTCGTTTGTTTTTAGAGATAGGTTGGATGAGATTGTAAAGTGAAGAGACTGTTAGTAAGGAGACTATAAGTGAGAAGATTAAGAAAAATTGTGTTTGTTTGATGACCAATGGACTAGTACATATTTGTTTTGAGAGATACGAGTGAAATTAATCATATAAAATTTCACAAATACCCTTGTTGCATTACTATCAAATTTTGGTTTATACCAACTAATAAATGCATTGAATATTTTAATATAAAAAATACATTTTTTATAAATATTAAAATTATTTTTTAATATTAAAAATTATATTTCATAAATAAATAAATATATATATATATATATTTGGTACTATTTTATTTTTTTAATATATTTTTTTTGATATAAATATTATTATACTATTATATTTTAATATTAAAAATTATTTTTATATTAAATTATTTTGATATAAAGAATGGTGGAGTAAAAAATGGTGGAATAATTAAAAAAAAATGATAGAGAAAAGATCATATTGATTAAGTAGAGTAAGTAAATTAGGTAGGATAATAGAGGGCAAAATAGTAAATCTCCCTCTAATCCCAAAGGATTGTTTTTCTAATACCATGGTCCTGTTTGGTGTAACTGTTAAAACAGATTATAGATTATAACTTAACAGATTATAGATTATGACACTAATCAGAAGCTATTAATCTGTTTGGTATAGCTGTTGAATTATAGATTTAAGTTGTTAAATAGTGTTTGTTAAATAAGCTGTGAAGTAGCTTTTTTAATTAACTTTTATTTTTTATTATTCACTATTTGTCTACATTTTTCATAAAAAATAATAATAATATTTTATAGTCCATTTGAGTCTTTTTCTATTTTTAAAAAAATAAAAAATAAAAAATTCTAAGAGTATAAGCGTGAATTAACATATCCACAGCAGAAGCTGATAATCAGAAGTAAGGGATGAGTAACTTCTCAGAATCACATTTTTTGACTTAAAATAAGTTGTTAAAATCAGAAACTGTTTGAAATAAATTTAACAAAACAGTTTAAAATAACTTTTTAAAAGTCTGAAATCATAAGTTGACTCAAAAAAACCCTACCAAACACTCCCTATCTCCCATGAGAGACTATTAATCTCATTCATGAAGGCTTATCATAGTTCTAAGATATTATAAATCTCTTCTCTATTTTACAAATAAACACAATATTAATAGACCTTACATTCCAATCCAATCTCATCCCTTATAACCCACAACAAAATAAACCCTTATGCCATGTTTGTTTGGACGGACTCGATTAGCAATCCCATGACTAATAGTCCTAGGACTACGAATCCGTTGGATTATGTATCCTATCTTAACTAATAGTAAAGTTTAAAATAATTAGTCCCTACTTTAATTGTTTAACCAAACATCGGATTAATAATTTTATTGGATTATTAATCCAATCCCAAGCTTATGTCCACCCAAACAAACATGGCCTTAAGGCCATGGATCGAACTCGGGCTAGGGTTTTGGAAATTGACTTGAGCCAAGCGAGGTAGTAGGGTCCAGATTACTAAATTAGGAGAATGCCATTTCATTAACTTGAATTTGAAATCTCATTTTTGCGGCACCTAAATATCCTTTCATAATCACTTGGTTTACGACTTGAATAATCATGTATGCTAACCAAACATAGCCTTAAAAGTTTGTTTGGAATGTGACTATTTTAATATTTTTTTGATTTTTTATAAAAATATGTGTAAAAAGTAAGGAGAGCGATATGATAAGATGTTTTGGTTTTTTTTGCTATATATTTTAGCTAATAAACCAACATTTCAAACAACACATTATATTTAAAAAACATAAATGATTATAGTTTACAGGTAATAAATGCTTTCTTGCTTAGGTTTAGGTATTAAATATTTGCATTGCTGATTCAACCAACACAGTTTCACTGTTTGACTATAATACTCTTCTTTTTGCATGTAAAGCTATTTAATAGACCACCAAAAAAAAATAGGATTAAACTTCTCCTATATTCACATCTTAAAAATATGTGTAAAAAAATAAAAAAAATAATGTGATAAGATGCTTTGATTTTTTTTACTATATATTTTAGCTAATAAGCCAACATTCCAAACAACACATTATGTTAAAAAAAGCATAAACGATTATAGTTTACAAGTAATAAATGCTTTCTTGCTTAGGTTTATGTATTATGTATTGCATGGACGGTCTCCAATGTAGATTTGGAATAGTCTGGTCTAGTTCGGCTCATTGGGCTCACTTTTGGGTGCATTTTTAATAATTTGAACTATTCATATTTTAGAGTCTGTTGAGTACATTATCCTTGTAAAAAATCACATCAATCGGATAACAGATATTATGTATTCAGATCGCTTTTGTCTAAAAAAATATGGACGGTCAGAAAATTAACAATTCATAAAAAAGTAATCTGAATACATAGTATTCGTTATCCGATCGACGTGATTTTTTTATAACAATAATATACCCAATAAATTTTAAAATATGCATAATTTAAATTATCAAAAAAAAATTAAAAAATGAGCCTAATGAACCGGACTGAATCCTCCAATGACTGGAGGCAAGCCACTGCCATGTATTGCTGATTCAATTAACACAGGTTCACTATTTGACTATAATACTCTTCTTTTTGCATGTAACCGTTTGACTATAATACTCTTCTTTTTGCATGTAACCCCCCCAAAAAAAATGAACCGGACTGAATCCTCCAATGACTGGAGGCAAGCCACTGCCATGTATTGCTGATTCAATTAACACAGGTTCACTGTTTGACTATAATACTCTTCTTTTTGCATGTAAAGGTTTTCAAAGGGAACCCCCCCCAAAAAAAAAAACTTTTTTTATGTTCATATCTCAATATAAGAGAATTTGAGAGACATATAGAGTCCATCACTTTTTTTATGTTCATATCTCCATATAAGAGAATTTGAGAGGCATGTAGAGTCCACCACATATTTTGTTTTGATGATTTAAATTGTTCATATTTTAAGATCCGTTAAATAAAATATTCATGTAAAAATCAAGATAATCGGATATCAGTAACTATATATTTGAATTAAATTTGTATTACAAAAAATAGATAGTTATTGTTAAAATTATATTTGTCGTCTATTTTTTTAAAACAAATATAATTTAAATATATAGTTACTAATATCTAATTATCTTGATTTTTTACATGAATATTCTACTCAATAAATTTTAAAAAAATAAACAATTCAAATCAATAGAATCGATTCTAAAATGAACCTATCAAATTCAAATACACTCTTAAATTGAAATCACAACTCGAAAGAAATCAAATCCAAAAAGATATATATATGTAGTATTATATCAGGGTGGTTGGCCTGTCTTGTGAAGTGGACTAGAGAACTAACCCAACGATAATCGAGGCAACAATTGTTGACAAAAATTGTGATGATGGGTCTTAATTTTTGGCAATGATACAGTTCTTTAAAAATAGAATTTTAATATGAATTCTAGATGTAGTAAAGTTAAAAAAAAAGAAAAAAGAAAAAAAAAAAGTTTTAATGATGTGACAAAGTAAAAATAAATAAATTAAAATATCACATCACATAGTAGAACTTATCATTAAGGTTAAGGGCTGGTTTGGCATAGACTATATAATCCATCTTTTTATCTTTTTATCTTTTTTCCATCACATCACCTCTCTACTTTTTTGCACATCTTTTCGTAAAAAGACAAAAAGTGCACTTTTTTAGGACACCCCAAACCAACCCTAAGTTTGGCATAACCTAAATAATACAAAAAGTCAAAAAGTCACTATCCTATTTAAGTCACATCATCTTATTTAAATCACATCACCTCTCTAATACATCACATCAAACTCAACCCAAATCCAACCCAAACCCAATCCATATAAGTCAATAAGTCAAAAAATACATTTTTTTAGAACATCCCAAACCAACCCTAAATCTCTCTTTAAAACTCTTTTTTCAGAAGTCCCAAACATTTTTCCTTAATTTTTCGTTTCCTAATTAATGTGACCAAACATTCTCTTTTATCCCTAGCTATGTTGTCCTCTTCGGTAATTTTTCTGTTATAAAGTCCAAAATGTTCTGTTCAAAACAAAAAACTAAAAACTAAAAAAAAAAGGATCCAAAATGTTACTGCTATGCTGACCTAGATCTTGATAAAATGCTCATTCATAAACCAATTTTGTTGGTTAATTTTGATATGAAAAATGATTTGCAAATAAAAATTTTATGCAAAAAAAATTATTAAAAATGGTGTGATAGTAACATTTTTAAAATTATAAACTACAATGATGGATATTCTAATTTAAAATGAAATGGTCATAAAAGATCAAATTATTTTATGTGAAATTCTATTTGTTTGACCTTAGTCTCTAGACATTAGTAACTTTAAAATTCTACATTGATATAATATGCTTTTACTTTGATTCTTCTACATTGATTTAAGCAAATTAACATATACTAATTGGTTTTGGTGAGAAGAGAATTGACTAGAAGTTATGCCATAATACTACTTACACAAAATAAGCAATCAAGGGCAAACATCTTGGCCCCAAATTTTATAAAGGC